TCGACCCTCGCTCTCAGAGCTCTGTGATTCAGGACAAATTCTTTGACCTCTTTGACCTAATTTCTGTATTGGAGATGCTCTGTGGATGATTTTTTGCCTCATACAAGGAATTTTTCCAGGGGAACCAATGCTGTTAAGAACTTTGTGAATTCTGTTTCTTTATAAGCAACAGTGTTAATTTCTCTTAAATCAACTTAAGATTTTTTTCCATCTGCAGAAGTAAATGGCACAAAGGAGCTGTGTTGAATATTCAGCTCTTGCTTTAGATAGAGATGGTAAACACACACACACACACTCACATTCACACACACTCTACTCACCAAGAAGCACCTCCTCACCCATTTTAAAAGTATATTTTTAAAGATATTGACTACATATTCTTTTGTCAATGTGGAACTGTGGGAAACAAAGGTCGAGGGCTGGGATTTCTTTGCACACACGGTTCTCAGTGGCTAAACAAGACCACCGGGAGAGCCTGAGCCCATTGGAGCTGCACGAGCCCACACACTGTCCACGGCCCCTCCGTGAAGACGGACGGCCTGGGCCCTTGCCCTGACTATTGTTAAGTTAATACTAACATTCACACCAGCTTTAAAATGGCACACATAGGCAACTAGCACCCTAAAACACTGCTTTCTCTGTAGCTATATGTGATTAACACGAAAGCAACAACATTAATAAACCTGGCTCCCTATGTTTTGGTCACTGGAAAAATAAAAACCTGCTCTTGACACAAATTTCTTATCCACAGTATGGACTTGGGCCAGGGATTTGGCACCGTTTGGTATGGTTTTTGTTCATTTGTTTTGGTTTGTTCTCTTGTTTTTTGGTTTTTTTTTTAAGACTAAATACCTATGTATTTGTAGAAAGAGTGAGGCCTGGGGGTCTGGGGATTTAGCTCAGTGGCACCGCACCTGCTTGGCAAATGCAAGGTCCTTGATTCCTGGTACCGAAAAAAAAAAGAGCAATGGGAAGAAAAAATCAGGCTTTATAGTGTTTATATAGTATTTCATACATAGGTTTTAGTTGAAATTAAAGAGTATTACCTAAGAAATTTTCCCAGTCTTGCTAACTTAAAAAATCAAAGAATACAGGAAATGCACAATAATAATTTGTAATGCCACCACAGAATTTGGATATCATGACAAATATTATCTTTTATCACTTTTTTATTGAACATATAAATTAAAATTTCCCAGATGTGTGGACATGTAGATTTGGCTTTCATTTAATGGTGAATTGTTGATTTCTGGGCACTGTGATCAAGATGGAGTGGGATGTATATTCACCAACGCCTTGTGATGAGTATATTCACTATGTGTCATAAACACGTACTAATAAAATTTTTTTTAAAAAGAATCATCAGATACATATTTTTAGAATTGACCAAAATGAAATTTTCAATTTCAGAAAAGATCCTTTCAAATGACATGAGGCAATATTGCTTTGCAGATTTTAGTTTTAGTTCTCTATTGATTAATATGTTGAATGACATCTTTTAATGATCAATTATGATACCTCTTCATATATCCCTGTGTCACATATCTATTTTGGGTATTTGTACAAAATAACTAAAATCAGGATGTTAAAGAGAAATGTGTACTCACATGTTTAGTGAAACATTACAATAGCAAAGGTCCACATGCTGAGAGGTGTTTGTGCCAGGCAAATCCCCTGAAATAGCTTAGCAAGGTAAAAACAAAAAAGAGAGAGGATTTATGTTTCTAGAGTTACTTCATCCAATTTTCATGGGCATAATGCTTTGGAATTTCACCAATATAATCATAATAACAAGAAGTATAACAGCAAAAGAGTTTAACCAGCTTCAACTCAAAGCATTATTTTCAAATGTTCTCTATAATATTCTTCCTAATGAGATGTATGCTTGGCTAGACAAAGAAGTCCCTTAGTAATGATTACAAATAGCACAAGTTACTTGTTCAAATATCAGTTGTTTGTTGAAAGTCAAGCTTCAAATTTGATGTTATTGCCAAATAAATGTTGATGTCTGTGTTAGTCAACTTTCTGTTACTGTAGTGAACACTTGAGATAAACAACTTTGAAAAGGCAGAAAAGGTTTATTTTAGTGCTCAGTGTCAGAGCTTTCCATCCATAATTGGTTGGTCTTATTGCTTTTATCTGTGGCACAAATCATGGTGAATCACACTGGAGCAAAAGCACCGGCCTCAGCTGAGAAGTGAAAGAAAGGAAAAGACTGGAGTCTCAATCTCCTTCCAAGGCAGAGCCTCAGTGACCCAGGCAGCTGAACCTTTGCAGGGCACCTAAGATCTAAACTATGGTAATGTCTGTTGAACCCAGGTATTATTCAAATATGAAAGAAGAATTAGTGGTCCTTATCTGGGGCAGGTGACAGAACCACTGAGCTAAATCCCCAGCCCAGTAGTCCTTATCTGGATGACCTGAGCCAACTGTAGACAGAAGCAATGGTCCCAGTAGATCCCCAAGGAAAGGAGCCTACCTTGGCAGAGACTTCTGGAGCCTCCTCAACATGCATGGCCCACACCATCTTCTTTAATGAGAGAAATCAATTTTTAATTGGGTTTTTTAAGATCATCTTTTGGTTAGGTGACTAAGTTCTGGCCAATGAGATATGATAGACATTTATGAAATTTCTGGAAATCCTGCTCATTTAGAATCTACTTCTAGAAAAGACTCTTTCTTAGGTCTCTTGATTTTCCTCTCTTAACTGATCAGTGACTCAGACACAGGCTCAACTTCCAGCGGCCACACTGGTCCATGAGCGCATTTTGTGGGCGAGAGTTACGTGGCTGGGTGGAACGGAGAATGATTACAGCTACTGTAACAGCTCTGGACAACCTATTCCAGACCCACTGTGCTGTGACTACATTTCATCCTTGTCTCCATGGTACAGTCTGGGTTATTATCTAAACTTTTAAAAAAAATTTTCACCTCTCCACTTAAAAACCCCCACAAAATTCTGCTCTTTTTTCTTCTTCCTGACTTTTACTTGCCTCTCAGTTGAAAAATCTTTTTTGGCTTTGTAAGTGAAGTTCTTGAGTTTTACCATCTGGTCTACAAAATTTGGACAAATTTCTTGAATCCTAAGCATTTGTTTTAAAACACTGTGTGGGTTTGTTTATTTGGTCAATGTGAGTAATCCATCTATACCACAGCTTCAAGTTTGAGCTATGCCTCTTTGCCTTCATTCCACTCTGAGCCCCATCACTTAGCCCTCAGTTAAGCAACATGATAGACAGACTCCGATGTTCTCCAACAACCCAATGCAAGAATGAGCCCGTCACTTCCTGCTGCACAACCATCCAGGTTCTTTGTAAATAGCTCTGGTGACATGGAATTCACTATTTCACCAGCCAGAATCTTTCATTGTCATAAAATCTAAGTCATCTGTGGTATTTCTTCCCTTTATTTATCTTACACCATTTCCAGGAGACCTCTACAGAGTGGTTTTAATTATGCTTTCTAAATGATACATTGTAATGCTCTTGTATATCCTGGACATCTGTTTAAGAATGGAGGTCATGATCTAGGCATGGATTTGAGGGGGTGAGGGATAAACTTAGACGAATGGAAAACAGGGAAGTGGGATAAGATCACTGACATCTCAATGCAGTGACCAGGAATGTATGCTCTTCTTTTGATGAATGTCATTTTTTTCCCATTGAGACTCTAGGGATAAGACCACTACCTCTGAAAGGAGAGAACTTTCCAGAAATTGTCGAGAGGTAAAATAAGCAACATAAAACATCATATCTCTCTGCAGGTGACTTGTGATACCCCTAAAACCTACTCTCTGTACAAATTACAGTTCGAGTTTTCTGTTTCCTAAGATTTGGGGCCCTACACACGTGGACCCCATTTGTCTCTAACCCACATTTCCCAACAAGTTTGCCAACACATTTCTCTGGCCTGGTTCTCATGACATACCTGTTGAACATCTTCTCTCTGGAAACACGGGACAGTGGAGCCCATCCTCCCTTACCCCTGCTGTGACGGTGAGTCCTGAAGAGTGGACTCCTGCGGTGTGAGGGACATGGATGTCAGCAGTCTTTCTCCTTTCTGTTCTGTGAAGGTGTCCTCCGCCTCCCCCAGGCTCACTGAAAAGCAGCAGGTCTGGTAGTCCAGGTCTGGGGCTATTTTTGTCTCTGGGGAAGGGAATGTGGGATACAATTTTTACACCAGAGATAAATTATAGGCGCAGTCTCTGTCTGGTTATTCACTTAGCTTAGAACAGGTTTATGTGTGTTAAAGCATGTCTTCTAGGCTCTTTCTCTCTACCTCCAATCGTTAATTCCCTGATTTCATTTTGTTGCCCTTTCACTGGTGTATTTCACCCTGTAAAGCAAGACTTAATTTTTCTTTTAGTTCTGAAACTTGTTTCATAACTTAAAAAGCTGGAAACCTAGGCCAGCTCCTTGACTTCAAAGCAAAACTCTCCACAGTTACCTAAATAGTTGGTAAGAATAAAGTCCTGCAATTTTTCCATTTAAAATTTTATTACTGACTTTTCTTCTGTTTTAAGAACATCACATTCTTACCATCACTCTTTGTAAACTACTTCTGGATACTCATCATGCTCTCAAAATCCTCCATCTTATATTTTGTCTCCATCCTTCTTTGCCCTGTTCTTAACAACAAAACTATCAGCTCCTTGGACAATGATTTTGCTTTGCTATCTTTGAATCTCTAATACACACAGGGAGAAAGTAACCGAATGCACTTACAAAACCTCTCAGTTGCTTATGTTTCTGTCTGTTCCTTCCATCCTTACCATCTCCCCATAGCTTCTCCTTTCTGGAAAGCATTTGCCTTCTTCCCTAGGCTTTTGCAGGAATATCATTCAGTAGGAACTGAGTGTTATGTTGTCCAATTTAATGTGATCGACTTACACCAGACATATTTACCCTAATTATAATTCAAATCATTTGGAATTTGAATCTACCTACCCTCCACTTTCTTCTAAACTACTTTTGTTGCTTTTGTGTTGTTCTGTTTTGCAGAGTGAACTCTACTGCTGGGCTGAGCTGCATTCACCGCCCCACCTGTATTCTTTAACGCTCACCCAGTTCCCAAGTCAAGGGTCCTGAAACAGACCGGGCAAAAGCCACAGGAGCAGTGTTCCTTGGGGAGTCTGAGGCGCCGCTGCAGCCATTTCCTACGAAATCCACATCAGATCAGCTTCAGGATGTGGTAACCAAAGTCTTTGCCCTGCAGGAGCTAAAGACAATAAATAACTGAATACATCCTTTGGCTCAGGTCTTCCTGTGGCTGCATAAGACACCTCCTGCGACACGTTTTCCCTCTGGTGTCACAGATCCCCGTCCGTTCAGTAGCCAGCTCGGGTCACATCCATCATTGGCTATTTGCTCCATCTCTGTCTCTGCATTCTTCCTTTCTTCAGATCCTGAGACAAAACCCAACATTGTGCTAAAGCAGCTTTTATTTTGACAGCTTTAGTATTTCATCATTGTGCCTTTTTTTCAAAGAAAAAATGTCCTCCTACTCCCTTAGCTGAAAATGACTTTCTCATTAAGCAAGAGATTTTGCCTCTTCTTACATAACAAATGTGTACACAACCCACCTGCTTCTGCATTACTTTCCATCTGTTCTTCAAGACAAGCCCTATTCCATATAAAAAATGCCTTTGTTTTTATGGAGATCGTGTCTTCATGTAAGTGGAACTTTTAATCAACTTGGATTATTGATTTAGACAACAAAAATGTTTCAGAAACTTCATGACAATTGATTTACAAAATATCCTGATATGAAAAGCCAATTATTCTGTCTTATTTATACCAAAATAGTGTGATGGACAATGAGCAATTCAGATTCTTAAATAATCAGTGGGATGGTAAGTTCAGTAAAATAAAGATGGCCTCTTCCTTCATCAGAGGCCAGATGGAGCTGAAAGTCACACAAAGCTTACATGTTGGGGAAGCTGAGCTGCTGAGCCTCACCAAGTGCCTTCCTGGGTTTGATCTTCTTTGCGGGTGGAGGTACGCACCCCTTCAGGAAGGTGTACACACATGCAAACGTGTTTGCACCAAGCCAGCTACCTTCATTTCTCTGAGTCATAGGTCAGGTAAGGAACACTTTGATTTGGAAGCCAGGGCCCTGCATATGCTAAGCAACTGCTCTACCATGAGCTACATCCTCAGCCCAAAGAACATTCGATTTAGTTCAACTCTTCTTCATTTTGATAACACAGAAAATTAAGCTCTTAGACATCAACTGATCTATTTAAGGTCCTGATTACTTAGGCCTAGAAATCATGTGATCTATTCCCAGGCATTTATTTCTTAACAATGGACTGAGTATGTTTTGCTATTTTAAAAGTATATGTAAGTATTTGTGTATCTTTTATTGAAGAATATAATAATAATAATGGCATTAAATTTAATCTCTTGTTTCTATATGTAGGGAAACCATGTTTCCAGAAGTTAACTATTCTTCTAAAAATAGTTAGAATAGAATATTCAGAATATTTCCAAGGTTTCTTTACTTAAATTTCATGACCAATGATCTTGAAAAACTTTTAAAATAGCTATTTATTACTATTGTTGTTATAATAATTTTTATAATCAAAAATTTAAAGATCATAAAACCTTCAAATTGATTTTTCCCAAAGGCAGCATCAGTTCTTTCTCTGAAGTCACTTATTCTATTTTTAACTATCAGATAACATAAAATTTTAAAGAAAAGAGTACCTGAATAAATGCTACCAGAAAAATGAAACAAAAATTAGAATTTTCACAGCTTTACTGTTTCTTTTTTTTAGTATATGTGCTGCCGAAGTGAGCACTACTGTTTCTTTTTTACATGGTCTAATTCCTGATTTTCTAACATGAGATAATGGAGAGATTTTAAGTCATGTTAATCATTTTAATATTGTCAGTTGGAGAGGAAAATGAAATAGCTGAATTTATGCTAAAAATAAATCTTCCAGATTTGCTGGATTGCAGGACGTTTGAGGGTAAACAACTGTCCCCCCTCTTGGAAAGCTGATCCTGGCTGGCTTTGGACTTTTCTGAGAAACTGTTCCAATAGACCTTTTTTTTTTTTAACCGGGAATTGAACTTGGGTCCCTGCGCTTGAGAAGCAGGCGGCAGAAGCACTGAACTAAATCCCCAACCCTCCAATTGGCTTTTTAAGCTGCATGTTGGATAATTGTTTCCACAACCAGCCCAGATTGGTTTTCTCAAAAGAAAAAATGAAAATGAAAGTTCTATCCAATTAAAATAAGACTATTAATAGTGTGCTGTGTGGGAACGGAAAAGCCTACCCTTCAAAGGCCTGTTTCCTCACAGAAACACAAATTTTTATAGCAACTGAAATTGTTGCTTGCAAAGTTTTAGGTTGCATGAGGAAATAGCATGTTAGTTAGCTGGCCCTGGGGAGATGATGGGGACCCCGGAAGGGAGAGGTCGGTCCTTTGCCCTGGCTCTGCGACTTTGCAGGGCTTTCGAGGCCTTGCCTTCAGCGGGCAAAGTTGGTGATGGGAGGAAAAAACCATCCCACAGACACAGGAATGGCTCTGGAGAGCTGTGTTTTTGTACAAAGAAGTCCACATATTCTTCCATTAATAAAGTAAACAGCAAATGCAGACAGAGGCATACCTACCTGCTATCTCCCCATTGGAATTTCTCAACTGGAGCAAGAGCTGGGATCTGACCCTTGACCCGGACAGAGATGGCGCGGGCGGCATGATGGTGGCACCGAGACTTGTCTGTCACCGAGGCTCGCTGTGCCCCTGCCTCCTGCCCTTCCACAGCCGGCCTCCCCCGCTCACCCTGCCCTTCACAGAGCCCCTCCCACAGCTGTTCCACCCTCTCTTTGAATCTGATCCTTCCGTGTCGTAGGCATGTAACACACTTTATATTCTTTTCTCATTGTCTAGCACTAATTTATTTTTTAGACTAAAATTATCAAAGCTTCACAAGAAAAAAGAGTAAATTTAAGGTTTAGTTTGAGTTATTTTTACCATACGGCTAAAATGAAAAAGATGAGGGCTGCCTGAAGGTACCCAGCCTTAGAATGCCCTTAGCTCACCTTGAGCTCCTTCATCTTCATTTCATTAAATAATCCATTGCCATGTGAGCCATACCTCTGGAAATTTCTGATTATTAGACAATCTAACCACTTTTCATACTTCAGTCCAAATCAAGAAAAATACCTTTATGAATATATATTCAAACTTTTAGACTTCTGATCTCAATAAAATAGCTGTCCATGCTCTCATGAATCAATGCACATTCAGCGGCCAACTTGTTCTACCTTTGTGCAAACGGGCCAAAGCCTGAGAAGGAGCGGCTTCTCAGTTGTTATCGCTAACATCCCACTCAGTGAAGACGTCATGGAGGCGGATTCTCAAATGTGGTTACCTGGCCACCTGCATCAGAATATTCTGGGTTTTTGTTTTTATAATTAATTCCAAGATCCTGTTAAAAAATCCAGAAATCAGAAATTATGAAAGTAGTATCAGGAATATATAATTTTAACAATTATATCTGGAAAAAGTGAAAATACTGCCTTAAGGTAAAAGGCCTGAGGGACAGAGAATGAGAAAATCCAGAAGTGCAGACCTGCTTTTGTGACCCCCATAAAGCCAGGAAGTTTCTGCGAATTAAAGGGTCATAAATGTAGTGGCTCTAGCATTCACATGAATTCTGAATGTGCTGGAAAATAAAAGAAACATATTTCACTCATACAGATTTTCAGTAATATTTTATTAAAATGTATTAAAAAGAATGGAACATATTTCTAGTAACTAATTTTAAAAATATATTCAGAGTCTAAGGTACTTTTCAAAGTTGTTTTATTCATATTTAGAAATTACAAATGAAATCTTTGCAATAATGACTACTGAAATATAAATGTTCATTGTGTAAAGTTCAAATGACAGAGTTTTCACTAGGATAAAGCATATGCTAAAGCCATAAAATAAGTTAGAGAACAGTTCAAATGACTGAAGTCTTAAGCTTATATTGTCTGACCCCAAATGGAAATATGTTCACTTTATGGGAAAATACTCTGTGTGTGTGTGTGTGGGTGTGTGTGCGCGCACTATATAATAGCTAAAACATGATCAGAAAATGCTAAAACTAGTGGGTGAAAAGTTGATGAGGAATAAGATATTGATAAAACCTCAAATTTATCTTCCCCAGTTTACTCATTACTTACAAAAAAAAACTATTGAATTTGAACTGGTGAATCTTGCCAGATACCACACGGTCAAATTATCAAACTTAACATGTTCCAGTATAGGAGCAAGACACCACTGTGTTCCCTTAAAGTGCACCAAGCAGGACACAACAAAAAGAAAGACTGACGATGCCATGATTTGGCAATGATATGGAGCAATTAGAATTCTTCCTTGTTGAGATGAAAGTCAGTTGTTACAATTGCTTTGGAGAACTATTTGACAGTATCTAAAGTTAAACATACTCTTTTATACCAGCAATTTCATTTCTCAGCACATATTCACCAATACGTATGTATGACCAGGTATAGTTTTTTTCCCTAATAGCCCCAAATTGAAAATAATTCATGTCCAAGTGGACAAATTCAGATAAAATTGTACTGTGATACCATTAAACAGTTAATAACTTCTATACCAAACAGTATGATGATGAACCTCATAAATATGGTGAGATATGGTGAAAACTAAAAAATTAGATATGATGTAATCATATGCAATTTTTAAATCGGCTCACAGGAGACCAGGACCCACTGCAGGGGCTCTGGTAATGTTCCCTTTCACATTCCCTATAGCAGTCCAAGTAATCCACATTAAAACTTTTACCAAAACAAAAAAAATAGTTCTAAACACAGACATAAGTGAATGTTTGTGATTGGTATAATCTAACATTATAAAGACATCATTCTTCTCAAATTAGTCTATGAATTAAGTGAACTTGCTGGCATGTTTCAGCAAAATTTTTGAGGACAGAAACAAATTGTTTCAAATATCATGTGGGAAAACAAAAGCCTATGAAAAAGAAGGATTATGAATAATAGCAAAAAGGGAGAATCATGCCAAGGCATAGGAAGAAGATATTCTATAACATTATTAGAATGAAACAATATAAAATAAAATTGTATGGTTCCAGTATGGGAGCAAAAATATCCATGGAATGCAATATTGAGGGCTAAATAGAGTACGGCTTAATATAGATAGAATAAACCTATTAACATTAATGGATAAAAACAGTATTTAATCTCATATTAATGAGATCTCATTATA